ACAAATTGTGCAACATCAGCAGCAAGGTCAAGTCATCAGGCGCATCCAGAGCAAAAGATCAAACCTTTAGTCCTGGACAGACAGTTTTGGCTCGGAACTATGCTCCTGGAGCTAAATGGGTCCCTGCCACTATTATTGCTCAAACAGGACCTGTTTCCTATACTGTCCGGACTGCGAAGGATCTCATCTGGCGGCAGCATGTAGATCAGTTATTGACAGGTTATTCCTGCCCCCAAGGCACATCTCCAGTTGAGTTGCCCGTCCTTCCCACTGCTGGTGAGTTACCGTGTCAAGAATCACCTGCTCCTGACTCTCCTCCTCCATCACCACCAGCGGTGAACAAAAACCCCCTCCCTGAGCAGGCTGATCCAACAGCCTCACCTGTTCCCACTTCAAGTTCCCATCCCCGTGTCAGGCCTGCACCCATAACATCTTTGGGTGCGAGAATGCCGGATGTCCGCCGTAATCCACCTAGAGAAAGGAGGCCTCCTCAACGGCTGGACCTTTAGTTGGGATTAACTCACAGATGGGGCAAAACAATCCCCAGGGTTAGCTAGGAACTTGAGGCGTTCTACCCTCATTTCATAGTTAGTTTTTGTTTTCTTAAAGGGATGTTTTTATTAAGGGGGGAGGAATATGTTGTCTATTGGGTTGTAGATATAGATACTTGTTATAGTAACTGAGTAGGTCACTGGGGTCAGCCCAGCTAGTCTGGGCTTATTCTAGTTAGTTCTGTGCTATGCAATAAAATGGACACTTGCACCTACTCCAGCTCTCTGCATTTCCGCTGATTTCTTCCTATACTGTGAAACTCCCCACGACATAACAAGCAGCTCCTAGAGTTACTGTCACTTGCACTTATGCTTTTGAGAATCAAGAGGCATCTTGGGAAACTCCCCAGGCCACATGTAGAGCACTGGGAAGTGCAGAGACCTGAGCCAGGTAGCTACAAGTGTGTGTGTGTGCGCGTGCGCAAAGCAGCAACTTTGGAAAGGGCGCAGGCAACTGCAAGAAAGTCATGTAGCCAGGGTCTGTTAGGGTATGTCTACACTAGCCCTTAGTTCGAAGTAGGGAGGCTAATGTAGGCATTCGAACTTGCAAATGAAGCCCCTCCTCATTCCAGGAGGAGTAACAGGTAATTCGAACTAAGGACTTAATTCGAATTAGCCACGGGCAATTAGTCCAGACTAATGGCATTTAAAAATGGTGACTGGACGGGAACATGCAAATAAAGCCCGGGAAATTTAAATCCCGGGCTTCATTTGCAAGTTCAAATGCCTACATTAGCCAGCCTAGTTCAAACTAGGGGGCTAGTGTAGACAAACCTCTAGAGTGGGATGAGACAAACATGAGAACAGACAAACACATGGGCCTCTGTGGTGCACCTGGAACTAACCCACATTGTTGAGGAAGAGGCATGGTGAGCTGGGCCTAGGATCTGCTAGGAGACTCTTAAAGATTTTTGCTGGGCATTACCAACAACGAATGACTGCTCCAGACAACACATGGACATAGCAGCTGCATCAGTGTCCAGAAGCCAAAGGACTTCCTTGGATACTGAGCATGTGTGTACAAGATGTGGAATCAGAAGGCTTGGCTTCTTTCCTTAGCACTGCCACTGACTCCCTCTGTAATCTTGAGAATGGCACTTAAATGCCTGCAGCCTTTGCTTCCCACCTGCACCTTGTTTGGTGGGCAAATTCCTTCATGTTTTTGCAGTACTTCAAATGAAAACCACTGGGGAAGGTGTTCATTGTTATAAAGAATTCAAACAGGGACAGTCTCTGGGTTTAGCAGTTGGAAGGGGGAAGAACCAAAGTGAATATCCAACCCTGAAGTGGATGGGAGTCCCAGCAGTGAAGAGGAGACAAACCTAGGCCAGCCTTGACACTTTCTAGCCTAGTCCTTGGAGGAGACATCTACGAGCTGCCTTTGGGAACCCATGCTGGGACCGTAGGGTTTGGGACTCTGCCTGCTTCCAGTAGGGCCTGAGCACATAACCCTGCTGGAACACTTACACCTCAGGCTGGACCCCGCAGGGAGCCATAGGCATCCTTGCACTCTGGCTGGCTGGAAGAAGGGAAGCAGTGGGGTCCTGTGCTCTGAGCTTGGTGGCACTCACACATGGGGAACAAGCAGTGTAAGGAAAAAAACAAAATGAGGGGCACAGAGTGGAGTCGAGAAGCAGCACTAAACCCCAAACTCTTCTCCTTTGCTGATTTCAAAGCCTTTTTAAAAACACTGTCGCAAGAATTAGCTCCATTCGATAGGGCAGGAAAAAGAGAACAGAATGGACTGGCCGCAGTCAGGAATAGAACCCCTATGATCAGAGCCCAAACCCAGGGCCCCAGCCCTAATGAACTCTTCATTCAAAACACCCAAATCCCTCAGACCCACTGGAGGAAGAAGCTTCATCTGCTGAGACGTTTTCTCGTTTTCCCAAGTGGTCCATTACGTTAGCTACTTACAGTCCTTAGCAGTGACACCTACCATATCCCACCCAGAAGTGACAAGGGCTTCACAGCAGAGGAGAGGAGAGGATCCACACATGGGCCTTGTACTGAATTTATAACAAAACAGGGCTGGCCAGGTGAGTGAAGGGTCCCCATATTTCTTCAGTGGAGTATAAACCTCTCCATGGTTTCCTGGACCTCCCACCCAGTCCACACAGGGTTAAGTTATAACCCCTGCTTCACAGCTGGCTTGGTAGCTGAAGTATGGAGACACATGAATTTTGCATTAGATGTGTTCATGACACATCCAACATGGGGTAATCCCTGAAACAGGCACAGATCAGGCATGTGAACTATTGTGGGTGAAGTATACTTGAGCGTCCAAAGGAATATGTAAACACATAGGTCAGTGCATGGTGAGCATCCCACTCTATGCCCAAGCCTGAGACCATATGGCAGTGCTGGCGTAGCCACGTATGCTTTTAGCTTTTGGGAATCCTGCTGCTGCCAGGATGGCAATCAGCATTCAAGTTCACCCATGTGTTTAGGATTTGGCTTGGTTAAAGAAATAAGCAATAAGATCATTTAAACACTAGCTCAGACCAGCTAGGTTTGGCTGCTTTGAGTTCCTCCTCAGAGTAGCTCAGCCCACTCCCCAAAGCATCTGACCCAGGGAGCTACTCCTTCCTGGCCTGGCTTCAGTGAGTCAGCAAAACCCACGGATCTGCACCTGGCCTGAAGCATGCCAGGAAACGCCGTCAGAGTGCTTTGGCATTGCTCTGGCCCCACCTGGTTCCCTGGGTGTGGGAAGAGGGACAAGGCTGCCAACCCTCCCAGATTGTCCTGGAATGATGCCATGTGATGAAACCTCCAGGGATAAATCCAAGCTCACACCGTCCCCCTTAGGGAACCCAAAGGGTGAGATGAGTCCCAAGGCCAGCCGGGAGAAGGAGCAGGGCTGACTCAGAGGCAAGCACACGAGAGCAAGCAAAGAAGCATTCTGAGCTAACCCAGGAGCCCAGAAGAGTAGAGGGTGGCGAGTGGGAGGAGGGGCAGCCAGTTGTAAAACTATTGGCCCATTCAACAACCCACCTTGTTTACTAGCTCAGAATCTGCCCAGCAGATGAGCAAGCCAAGCTCTTTGTGTCACCTCCTGGGTCCCTGCTGAGGAATCTGCTCGGGGGTTGTGGAAGCTGCGCTCTGAGCTAGGCTGAGCTGACATGCTAACCCTCCCTTGTGCTGCCTGAGCCAGGCACAGGGGGATTAGCATGTCATGGGACAGGGCTTCTGGCAAATGAGGCACATGAGATGACAGCTTATCTGGGCAGCCATGCTGAAAATCCCTCTCCCTGTGTAAATGGTCCAAACCAGGCTGGAGTGGCTCCGGGCCAGACCTTTGCAAAGGGCCACTCAGACACTGCTCCATGTCAGAGCTGCCTATTGTCCGTCATATGTCTGCTCCCCTTAGCCAGGCAGCAGGGCCCACACCAACTGCCCCAGTGAAACCTGGGCACTAACTCCCGGCCCTCACATGTCTAAGCAAGAGTCTTTTTAACACCTCTTCACTCAGCTCCTTGATCCAGTGATTTCTGCTCTTCTGCTGCCTTTAACGACAAAAGCATTAAATCTGCTAATTGTTATTTGCAGTCCTGTAGCTCCCAGAGACCTCAGCTACCACCTGGGCCCCATTTCAGAGTCTGTGCAGCTCTCTGCGAGAATGCCTCACAGAGCGTATCATCTACA